GTAATCCCAGGCTGGGGTAGTATGCACACCCATAATCCCAGTGGATCATGAGTTAATCACAAACTCTCAAAGTTCACTCCATGATTTCATGAGGCTTTGGGGGAATCCCTATATACAAACCATAACAGTATCTAATGTAAATAAATTATAGAGTTGTATGTATAGGAAAAAACGTATTATATATGGCGTTTGATAAATCACTGGCAATTTTAAGCATCCAGTGGGGGGTCTTGAAAAACATCCTCCTTGGATAAGAGGGGCAGTGGAAACCTCATGTGTTGTTGCATACCAGTAATCCCAGCATCCTGAGAGGTTCAAGCAGGATGATCAGGATCGTAAGTTCAATACCAGCCTGGGCAGCATTGTGATTTAGCAAGATCCTGTCTTAAAATAAACAAGCGCTGAGATGTAGCTCAGTGTGAAGGCCCTGGGTGCAATCCCTAGCACCATGAAAAAGAGTGGGGAGACTATTGTAACCAAGAGAGTAACTTATCACCTATAGAATGCTTCAGAAACTAGCTTTAATGAATGCTGTGGAGTTTATTGGGTTATGAATTAATTTACTAGTTAGTTATTAGCAATTAATATTAGTCAATAAAGTCTATGACTGCTTTAATAATTAATGGCACAAGATATTAATAATAACCACTAATATTAATAATGACTAATAATGTAATTGATTAGTAACAGAAAAAATCTTTAATGTACCTTTCAACGCTGTTTGGATATTAATTTCACAAATATAATGACCCTACAATAAATGATGAGGAATTATTGCTTGGTGGAAGCTTCCCCCAAGGTGTGGACCTCTCTGTGCTGCAGGTAGCTCCCTGTGTATGTCCCTGTTTGGCCCAAGGCAGCTGCCTGCAAGTGATCTGTATTGACTGAAGGAGGGAACCTCGCCATGGCTCCTTCCCTGCCCATCCTGGGCCAGGTCCTCTAGAAATTAGACTGGAACAAAATTCCATAGAACTTTTCTTGCCTGAACTCTGTATCCAGAGAGTGGAATTCCAGTGCCTTTGAGGATCTACATGGCCTTGGTTCAGTTTGGGCAAGTCACTTCTGTTTGCTATGGGCCTGCTATGCTTCTGCTTTGGTGACAACTGAGGACCATCTGGGGACAACTGGTGAGATGTAGTGCCTGGAGGCTGCTGTGTCCAAGTGCTTGTGTCTGACACTTGTGGCCTGGCCTCTCTGTTGCTTCCTCTCCCTTCTTGTTCCATGTGACACAACAGAACCAAAACAAATGAAATCAATTGGCATAAGGTCATAGGTCTAGCCCATGAGAGACTAGACAAGAGTGAGAAGAAATTAGACTAGAGCTTACATAATTAAAAAGGGTTTGTTAGAAATTGACCATAATAACCCTTTTACAATAGTGTCTGGTACATCACCTAGGACACAGGGTTTGAAAACAGAGCTTTGTAGTTAATAGCTTTGCTTGAGATTTGTGTTTTGTATCACATAAGCCTGGCCCAATGTGCATAATATCTGAGTCCATTGCAAACAAGGCTCTTAGCTGTGGCTCATAAGTCCAGCCAGAAAGGTTGCAAAGCTGTGGTCTTCTGATACCAGTAGACCTATGATTTTCTGTTTCTGCTGATTATCATCTGCTGTAGCCAGGGGCAGAAATGGGTGCATTCTATACTGAGACTCACTGAGATGGTCAGTGGTTCTCTCCAGGCCTGGCTTTGAATGCCAAGAGAAGGGTTGAGAGGAGCAGGAGGGTTGCCTTCTGTTTCCCTCCTGGATTGTAGAATACCTCCTGCATTGCTGGGAGCAGAGACATTGTTTGTGAATTCGTGAAACCATCATATGTTCAGGAGCCTAGTTATGGGGGAGACTTCAAGCTGAGTTCCTGCCCCCGAGGGGCTGTAGTGTGTGCTGCACACCTTGTTGGGCTTTTGCTCTCTGCCCCTAATGTTTAATTAAGGTGCCATTAAACGGACATCTTGACAGTAGATACATCTTCTAAACCTTCCTTTCCTTCATGCCATCGCTCAGTCAGTCGTGGGCCTACATTGCTGAGAGCCCAAGCTTTTAATCTCGGCCTGTTTGTTCCTTTATTCACGTTTAATGTTTGTTATGAAATATGTTTTACAGAAGATACATATTATGGCTTGTGTGTAGTTGTCCCCCCAAAGCCTTATGCAGTCCTTGGAGTGTGGTTCTAGAGTTTGTGAATAATTCAGGGCCCAAGGTTGGGATTATGGGTCTGAGTACTGCTGGGATTATGGGTATGAGTGCTATGCCCAGCCTGGGGCAGATAGCCTAAAGGCAATTTAAGTAAGGGAGAGCGACTTGCTCTTTGTAGTCATTGTTGCCACTACTCCTCCCGTTTGCTCTTGCTCTTTGCCACCACCATGAATGGATCTCTCTGCCATGTGCCACTCTGCCTTGGAGCCAGCTGAGTCTGGACTGAAGCCTCCACTAACTGTGAGCTAAATAAAGCTTTCCTTCATTTTGGGTGTTGGATTTTTGTCCTAGCAAGAAGAGAACAGTAACTAAGACAATACAGAAGTAATATAGGTATACTTCAGGTCATCTGATCCAAAATGCTTGGGATCAGAGGTGTTTCAGATGTTTTAAGATTTTAGAAGTACATATATAGTGATATATCTTATACTTGGAAGTAAAATTTAAATACAAAATTCATTTATGTTTTTCCTTCACTTTGCACACAAAACTTGATGGTAATTTGACACAGTGTTTTTAGGGGGCCTGTGTTTTGCCTATGATCTAGTCAAGGTATGAGGTCAAGTGTGGCATTTTTCCATTTGTAGTATCATGTCAACTCTCAGAAAATTTTGGATTTTATATTTTTGAATCAGTGATGCTTAGCCTGTAATATGACTACTCAAGTAATAGCCTTGTGGCTTAATAAATAAAGAGGAATGACTGTTATAAGTAAGGCCCCTTTTAAGTGTTTTGCAGATGGGATCTGGAAGAGTAACCCTGGGAGTAGCAACAGCGCAGCATGGCGAAATGCTTAAGAGCAGTGACTTTGAAGTTGGGTAGACTCAAGTGGAATTCTGGCTCCATATTTACTTGCTGAGAAAATTCAGGAAATCGCACACTCTTGGAGCCCTATTTTCCTCATCTATACTAGGAGTGAGGGTATTAAGATGGGTGATCCATGCATCTCCTGGAGTTGATATGAGGCTTAAGTGGAATGGTATATAATGCATGCACCCTGATACTTGGCATGTGGGGAGCAGCCTTCAAATGTGAGTCCTGGTGGCTGCTGGGCTGACATATCTGGACAGAGATAGAGCCAGGGACGGTTTTCCCACCTACCCTTATGACATGGCAAACCCAGGCAGAGGGTAGGGAAGGCCCCTCATGTATATTGTAAACAGCCTGATGGGGTACTTGGTGGATTTCAGGTGCTTGTTCTGGCTGTGAAGCAGCTATTCCCAGAATTTGAGTTTATGTGGCTGGTGGATGAAGCCAAGAAGAACCTGCCTTTGGAGCTGGACTTCCTCAATGAAGGGAAGAATGCTGAGAAAGTGGCCCAAATGCTCAAACACTTTGACTTTCTAAAGGTAGGAGGGGATGGGCAAAGGGTGCCATGTTGGTCTGGTGGGAGGATTGGTTTGTATGACTGTCTCTTATAGAAAGTCTTCTTCCCTAGTTTTCTTATAAAAGATGAGTTGTTTGTCACTAGTAATACATATTAAAGCCCTTCAAGGCAATTGCCAAAAAATACCTAGTGTGTTTTTGACCCATCAGCCAATTGAACAGATGTTTTATTACATATAATATATAATTGCAAGGCACCAAGCACTACCTGAGGGGCTGTGTACTGTGGTCTCTGCCTCCATGAAACATGCGGTAATGGGGATAGCTAGCACTACTGTATGCCAGTCCTGTTCAAAGCTCTTAAATATTACATTAGCTCAATTAATGTGTAGTTAGTTCTGTTCTAACACAATATGTGTTTCTAGAAATCATTATAGTGTGCAAAATTGTGTAACAGAACCCATAGAGCTTATGGGGGAAATGGGCATAGGGGTAAGTACTCAAAAACTTCATCTCTGGTACAGAAAAACAAAGAAGACAGGAACTAATAAGATCAGTAGCCCAGTATTACATGTGTTAAATGGCTAAGAAATATGTAAGACTGCAATAGACGGGCACCTTACCTTGAAATCTTATAAGCTATTATGAGTTAGTAGGAAGAGGATCATCTGAAATGGGGCAGGAGTCTGTAACAGATACAATGTTTGAAGTATGCGAAGTATGCATGTGTGCTTTGTATGTTCCCATGAAGGCGTTCAGCTGCTGTCTGTGTTCGCTGTGCTTCTGGTGGGTGATAGGGCACATGGGCAGCTGCACTGCAGAGTTTGCAGTGGAATAACATTGTTCCCTAAGACTGTGTCTTAGTTACTTTTCTCATTGCTGAGGGAAAATACCCAACACCCAAAGTTAAAGAGAGAAAGGTTTATTTAGCTCACAGTTTGTAGAGGTTTCAGTCCATAATTGGCTGGCTCCAAGGCAAGGTGGCACATGGCAGAGGGGCAACCATTCATGGTACCAAAAGACAGCAAGAACAACAAAGGAGAGAGAAGACACTCTCTGTCCCTTATATTCAATGCAGATTACCTGCTCTAGGATGGGTGTAGCACTCACATGCATAATCCCAGTATTGGACCATGAATCAATTACAAACTCTAGATTCAGCCACCTATGTAAAACTTGCCCCCCATGACTGTTTAAGGCTTTGGGAGAAATCTCAACACAGACCATAACATTCTGTCTCTGACTCCCCAAAGACTCATTTATATTGCTTTACACAAAAGGCAATTAGTCCATTTCTGAGAGTTGCCAAAGTCTTAAGGGTTTCAGGATTGTTGGAAACTCCAAGTGCCAAGTCTCTTCTGAGATTTAAGGCAAACTCTTAGCTGTGAGCTCCTGTATAAATTAAAAGAAAGTTAAACACTTCCAACATTCAGTGACGTAAGGTAGATATTACAAATGGGGAATACAAAGGAATGCTAACAGAGCAAGTCCCAAATCCAGCAGGGAAGACATTAAGACCTGTAGTTCCATATGCAGCATCCAAGGCAATCTGTGGCAGGATGTGAACTCCAAAGGGCTTGGGTGGCTCTACCCTGTGGTACTTCTGGTAGTTGTAGCTCTCATGGCTTTTTTCCTGGGTCTGCTCTGCTCCCTCCTTACAGTTTTCCTCAGATAATCTATGTTCTTGGATTCCCCAAATTTCTAGCATCTTCACTGCACCTTTGTGTTCATACTTACAGCTTCACATATTGTCCTCAGGGGCACACTGCCTCACCTCCAAGGCCTTCTTCTGAAATTGGAGTGGAGGCTTGCTGATCTCACAACTCTTGCCCCTAAAACAAATGCCACATGGATGATGCCAAGGTCTGCTGCCAGTTGGAATAGTAGCCAGGCTTTTTTTTTTTGTTCTGGCTATAGGAGTCCAGTACCTGGATCACTGGGCATGCATAATTTAATTTTAAGGAACAAATTCTCTATGCTTCTGCCATTCTGGAATATAGTGCTCTGGGGTTCTTTTCTCAAAGCAAAATATTTCAGTTTTGTAATTTTGAAGCTGCAAAAAGTGGAGTCCTGATGCTTCTTGTGATGCGCTCAGGCCATCTTTTCTATCTTCTGTTCCTTATTAGCAGTCAAGATCTCCCTTGCTTTATCTTTGAAGTCCACAGCTTTCCTGGAGCTTCCTTCATTTCTTTTCTTTCTTTCTTT